GCTCTGCGCGAGGGATGCGCACGGGCGAAGCCCCGGTCCCGCGCGGCCCTCCCGCTTCCCCTCGTCATGAGACAGACGGCGGAGCCCGGGTTCGCGGCCCAGTGGGTCGGGCCGAACGGTCGCGCTGGGGCTGGGAATTCGCTCCGCGCAAGGAGGGCCGCGGAAAAACCCAGGGTTGGGGGTCTTGGCTGGGGGTGCTCGGCAGGAAACCAGTTTCACCCTTTTTGTAAGTGGGAAGTCAAGCAGCTTTTCTCTCCCGAGTTGCTGCCTCTCTGGCAAGTTGGCAACATTTGCTGCAGTCAGGTCAACTCGGAGAGGGCAAGGTTTATATATATGATCGTCAGCTGCTCTGTGTCTAATATATAGTTACTATTTTTTTTAATCAAATATGCGTGGTTCTCTGTGCTCACTCCACCTTCCTTTTGCCTCCAAGTAGTCACAATATGGACTAAACCCAAGCACAGAAAATCTAGTAGAAATATCTGTTCTGGTCCTTGGTTTTGTTTGACAAGAAGTTAAAATTCATTAAGTTCTGAGAAGAAGCTTCAAATTTAGATCTAAATTTTAGTGGAACGGGAATCCCTCCGTTCCCTCCACCACCACCACAATGATTCCCTGGATGGATTTTAGGAATTTGGGAGGTCTTAAACATATGAGCAAAATTTTGTGGGCATATGTATTTTCCTGAGTAAGTCCCTTAGGCTTCATTATATTCTCAAATGGGGTTAAATCTCAAATAAGATTTAATACAGCAATAAAACAAAACAAAACAGTGTCAGGAGAAATCTTTTAGATCAAGCCCCTAGCTTCTCCTTGGAGTTGAATTATAGTACAAACTCCTATTTATCCAGTGTTTATAAATGTTGTATTTTTGTTTGTTTATTACCCCCCCCCCCCATGGATTTTTAGAGTGGAAGGGAGGGGGAGAGAGAGAAACATCGATATGAGGGAGACACATCATGTGCCCTTGACGGGAATTGAACCCAGGATCCTTCACTCTACAGGCCAACGCTATATCCACTGAGTTGAACTGGCAAGGCTATAAATGTTGTATTTTAACAATAGTCTACATGGATCACCAAATTTAAAGTTACAAAAAATACAACAAAAAGTCATATGAAATACCATTTTCCTCTGAAGATTCAGATGACACTTGAGAATTCTGCATCTCAGGTGCAAGAGTACCAGCCACTTTTGGATTCCAGAATAGTCCCTCACTTTTGCAGGCCCACAGTCTTCTTAGAGAGCTGTAGCAATGGGAGTAGGTTAGGAAACCTGGGTCAGAGATCCCATGGTTCCCGAGACTCAGAATATTCAGTACTTGTGGCACTTAGGTCATTTTCAGCAGAAGGCAGAGAGCTTACTAAAGGTTGCTTTCCTAACTCCAAATCTCTTAATCCACCCATTTGGGAGTAGGTTATTGGTTATTTTTAATTTGTTTATTGCACGGCCTGAAATTCTAATGATACAAATGAAGAAGCAAATATTCCAGTATAAATTCTTCAGTATAAATTCTTCAAATGAGATTCCTTATAAAGAAAGGGGAGAGATGTTTTCTAGAAAAGTTGAAGTGAGAACATTTTTTTAATTTTTTAGTATTTACAGTAAACTTTGTTGGGAAGTTTCTGCATTCCAATTTATTTTAACTATTTTGCATAACTAGGTACCTAAAGAAAGAGATGGGAGGGCAGCCCAAAACTCCATGGTGATTTTAGGATAGGTTCAAAAATTCTGTGATACGCTCCCCTTCAAGAGGTGAAGCTTACTTCCCCCTCCCATTGAGTGTGGATTGCTCTCAATGAACAGCTTATGGGTCATAATGAGCAGACTCTGGCAGGAGTGACAGTGTGTGACTTATAAGACTAGGTCACAAAAGGCATTGCAACTGCCTTCTTGTTCTCACTCTAAGATCACTTGTACTGGCGGAAGCTAGAGCTACCATGTCATGAAGACTCGGGCTTCCTGCCAACAGCCATGTGAGTGAGCACTGTTGGGAGCAGATCTCCCTAGTTCAGCCTTCAGATGACTGCAGTCTGGATGATGTTGACTGAAACCTCACCCTGAGCAAATCCTGAGCAGAACTACCCAGGTAAGCCACTCCACGATGACCCACAGAGTCTGTGAGATAACAGATATGTATTGTTTTAATATGGTGAGCTTTGGGGTAATTTGTTACAGAGAAGTAGATAACTAATAGACTCTATGTCAACTTTCCTTTGTACCAGAAAAGATACTTTTCTTATTCTTTAATCACATGGACTCTTGTCCCTAGGCCTACCTTTGGGTTAGGGGAATGATTTTTTTTTATCATTGAACTTTAAAATGGGCTAAATAAATAGACTTCTGTGAATAGTTTTGGAATGTAACCACTATTTTCAATCTTATTTCTATGTATTCAGAGGTTATAACAATAGATAAATGTACTATTTTGAAATATAACTGTTCATAGGGACTGCCTGCAGTTATGCTAGCTATTGCTCAGGACACCATTGTTTTCACCAGTGACTTCATATTCCTTTCTAGTATGAAGGATTTTTCCCATGGGAAAATGAAAAAAAGTTGCCAGTCACTTAGCCCATCTCTTAACCAGGTAACTCATAATACAGAGATTATTTAGGTAATAACAGGGGCTTGTCAGTTAAATTGCAAGACACATACCTCGGGGCAATTAACTGCAATGAATACAAACGATCCTATGTCAAAACCTGTTTTCTGGTCCGGATATCTTTTGGAACAAATGACAATGCTAAAAAGTATACTATTGTTAACATTTACTTAAGGCTTGTTTATGTGCCAGGCATTATGCAGGTGCCCTGACTTATATTAGCTCATTTAATCCTTACAACCTCAATATGAAGAAGGAAGTGGTTCAAAGCATGGGTCTTGGGAACAGACTGCTTGTGTTTGAATCCTAGCTCCATCATTTATAGTGATATAATCTCTGGCAGACTGTTTCCCCTCTTTGTGCTTCAATTTTCTTAGCTATTAAATGATAATAATAGCACCTACTTCACAGGGCCATGGTTAGGATTAAATAAGATAATGTAGGTAAAGCATGTAAAACTTAGCATGTAAGTAGTCTGGGCTCAGTCAATGCCAGCTGTTACTATTTTTTTAAGTAGATGAAGACACAGAGTCCTAGGGAGGTTAAGGAACTGGGCCAGTGTTGTGCAGCTAGCAAACAGCAGACACTCAATTCCAGATCAGTTTGGCTTCAGAACACCAGCTCTTCAATTAACCATTACTACATAACCTCCATACTGATTTCCACAGTGGCTGCACCAATCTGCATTCCCACCAACAGTGCACAAAGGTTCCCTTTTCTCCACATCCTTACCAACACTTGTTGTATGTTGATTTATTGATGATAGCCATTCTCACAGGTGTGAGGTGATATCTTATTGTGGTTTTAATTTGCACTTCTTCGATGATTAGTGATGTTGAGCATCTTTTCATGTCTATTAGCCATCTGTGTGTCCTCTTTGGAGAAGTGTCTATTCAGGTCCTTTGCCCATTTTTTTAAAACTGTGATTTGATAGTGAAGAATCATAAGGTGTTTTTTTGTTTGTTGGTTGGTTTTAATAATTTTTATTGGTGTTTAGAGAGACAGGAAGGAAGAGGGAAAAAGAAACATGGATGTGAAAGCCTAACATTGATCAGCTGCCTCCTGCATGCCCCCTACTGGGGATTGAGCTGAAATCTAGCCATGTGCCCTGACCATTGAACCAGCAACCTTTCACTTAATTAACTGAGCCACATGGGCCAAGACTGCCCATTTTTAAAATTGCATTGTTTGCTTTTTTATTGTGTTGAATTGTATGAGTTCTTTATAAATTTTGGATATGAACCTCTTATAGGAAGTATTATTGGCTAATACTTCTTCCATTCAGTAGGTTGTCTTTGCATTTTGTTGATGGTTTCCTTTGATGTGTAAAAACTTTTTAGTTTGATGTAGTTCCATTTGTTTATTTTTTCTTTTGTTTCCCTTGCCCAAGGAGATATATCAGAAAAAATATATTGCTAAGAGAGATGTCAGAGGTTTTACTGTCTATGCTTTCTTCTATAAGTTTTATGGTTTTGAGCCTTACAATGAAATCTTTAATCCATTTTGAGTTTATTCTTGTATATGGTGTAAGAAAGTGGTCTGGTGTCATTTTTTCACATTTATCTGTCCAATTTTCTCAACACCATTTATTAACTAGACTGTCTTTACCCCATTGTATGTTCTGTGCCTTCAGCGATTCCATTTCTGGGTGTATATTAGAAGAAACCCAAAACACTAATTTGAAATAATATATGCATCCTTATGTTCATTGCAGTGTATTTACAACAGCTAATATCTGGAAGCAATTCAAGTGCCCATCAATAGATGAGTGGATAAAAAAAGCTGTGAGATTATATATATATATATATATATATATATATATATATATATATATATATATAATGGAATACTACTCTGTCATAAAAAGAATGAAATCTTACCATTTGCAACAGCATGGGTGGTCCTAGAGAGTATTATGCCAAGTGAAATAAGTCAGTCAGAGAAAGACAAATACTATATGATTTCACTTATATGTGGAACCTAAAGAAAAAAATAAACGAACAAACAAGATTGAAACAAACTCATAGATACAGAGAACAGACTAATGGTTGCCAGAGGGGAGAAGGGTTAATTCTAGAGCCACTCCCCTATGGCACCCATCATGCCCCACATCTAGAGGAGCACTTTGTAAAGTATATGATTGTCTAACCACTATGTTGTCCACCTGAGAGTAATACAAAATAATATTGAAAAGTATAGTTGAACCTCCCCCCCCCCCCCACACACACACAAAGTAAATGTTTCTTTGGATTTCTCTAGCCATGTCTATCTAAAAAAAGAGGGAATAGGAGGTCCCAGGTGGGACGGATTTAAGGACTGAGCACAGTAGCCCTGGAGTCTGGAGATGGTGGCTGGGCTGGGGGAACTTGAAGATGAAGGTAGAAGGCCGACTTTGGAAGTGCTTGGGAATGCTTCATCATAGACAAGAACACCACATGAGAATGTGGAGAACTGGTTTCAGCTGCTAGTTTTGCCATCCAGTCACTGTGACTCCCAGCAGTATACTATTGCTGAGCTCATTTTCTTATCTGTAAAAAGTAAAAATAATATTCGCCCTCCCTATTTCATAGGGACACTAGACAAATGAGATTTTGTATGTGAAAGCATTCCCTTACTTACTTTACTAGAGAGAGTTCTTAAAGACCATGCCGGCTGAACCAAACTGCAAAGCAAGAGTATGAGCAAAGGCTGGTCTTCAAGAATCCTCCACTTGTATCTGTCCCTTCTCAGGATTGCTGAACTCCAGTCCTTGGTTTATTAAGGACATGTTCTGACTTATTTAGATTTCTAGATCACCACTATACACATTACTGTTATGATTACTTCATTTCTATCCTACTCTGTTTTTTTGTGTCCATAGCACCTAGCATCATACTTACAGTAGGAGCCCTGTAAATACACATTAATTAATATATGGAAATATTTTACTCATAGAGAGTTAATCCATAATCTTATGAATTAATATATGGAAATATTTTAATCATAGAGTTAATCCATAATTTTAAATTTCCCTCTAACAAACATTTCTGTTTCTTTAAGCTGGTATGTAAGGTCATTTCTAAGAAATTCTTAGTGATGAGATCATTCTGTCTCATGTTTGGAGATTATTAATTCACTAATAATCAGTTTATCTTTATACTAGACTTATTTCAAAGAACATTGTAACATTGATGAATTAAGCCGGACAGAGAAGCAACTGCAAACAAAGTGACTCTTTTTGTGGGCCTAACAACTTGTGGCTTTAAACAATGAAGGCCATTGTGTCAGAATTCCCTCCCGGGGTTATTGTGAGGATTAATTTCATTAAAATCTGCAGTGTTTTGAGTTTTTCTCAGAATTCTTTCATAAATAAAGATGGCAATAATTTTTTTAAAAAGTGTCATTATATTGGTCCTCCCAGAACCAAATGCAACAAGTTCACCTGCTATTTAACTCCCTATCTTCCCTGAAGCAAAAATCCCAAGACTAGGCCAACCTAAATTACCTTTAACAGTTTTAAATCTACTACCAGAGCACACATGCCTGACTAATGTTTAGTGCCCTAATCACAAAGATCTTGGTGTATGATTTACATGGCACAATAATGCCCATAATCACTGTGCCCCATGGTAGTTAAATATAAATTACTGTAATTACTACAGTTTTTTTACTGACCAACAACGTTTTACTCTCCTCTTTGTTATTTATATTTTAATAATTCATAGTCTGCTCACTTGCAAGGGTTTAAGGAAGCGTTCCCTTTAGTAGTTCTTCATTGTCTCCAAACATGGTAAATGTTGAAAGTTTTACCTGATACCAGCTACCGTTTAATCCTCACTGGATGCACAGAAACATCACCAGAAAAACAAGGGGAGACTTTGATCCAACTCTTTACCAGCTGAGTTTCCTTAGAAACTCCTCCTCCTCAGTCTCTCTTCTGATCCTAACCCTGAGCCCGGTGGCCCACCGAGGCCATGCTGTCCCCCTCCCTGACCCAGAAGGAACTGCTCTCAATATTCTGAGTGATGGCCATGAGGCAGCAGAAACTCTGGAGCAGACCCAGGTGAAGTCTGGGGAACAGTAGGATAAGAGGCCCATTGTAAATGAGGAGCCTGCCTGGCAGGTGACCAACTGCCCTGGTTTACTTGGGACAGAGGGGTGTCCGGGCCATGGGACTTTCAGTTTACTAGGATGAGTTTACTTCTCAGGAAGAAGAGACTCTAGAACCCTGCCAAGGGCTGAATCTTTGCTGAGCTGGGAGAGAATCTTTCCTGGGAAAGATACCTTGTTCGGATTGGGTCCTGCAGCAAACTGGGCTGGGTGACCTCAGGGAGTTCTCTGGACGTGACTCCTATTACATTGGAATGAAAGAGGTCAGAGCAGTCAAAAAAGGAAAGCCAGCCACACCCAGGCAGCGCCCTGCAGGCCACAACCATGTTAGAGTCACCAAGGTCCCAGGTGAGTTCTGTAGCTTTGCAGGTACAGAAACTACACCCGAGGATCAGGCTGGGGAAATCAGTGTATGCCTAATTGCCCCAGAGACTGAGTAAATTACTTTGTGGCTGATATGTTAGTAATCCTGCGGGATAGACCTTTCCTGTTGCCCTGGATGCCCTCTTGACAGGACCAGTGACATGAGAAACCCAGTTACCTTAGAATCAGAGCAAAGATGGCCGAGAGTTTTAAATGACATTGTTCCAGGCCTCCTGGCCTTTGTGCTTCTATTTCTCTGCTGAGGTGCTCTTCATCCTCAGCGTCTGGCTCACTCCCCTCCAGCCTTCAAACCTTGTGGATTCTGCCCAACTTTCACCCTCCTTTCTGCTTCCTTCTCCTTCTCCCTCCTTCCCTTTTTCTTCCCTTTCTTCCCCTCTTCTAGCCCTCCCCTGACTCCTTGTCTCTTCAACAAATATTATTTGAATGTTTTTCATATTCAGTCACGACACTAGACATTGGAGCTATAGTGCTGGATAAGACACAGTTTAGATCAAGCATGTCAAACTCAAAAGCTAACACTGGCCAAATAAACAAGGCATGTGGCATGCAGGCCGCGAGTTTGACATGCTCGGTCTAAATCAGGGGTCCTCAAACTTTTTAAACAGGGGGCCAGTTCACTGTCCCTCAGACCATTGGAGGGCCGGACTATAGTTTAAAAAAAAACTATGAACAAATTCCTATGCACACTGCACATATCTTATTTTGAAGTAAAAAAATAAAATGTATTTGCATGTGGCCCGCGGGCCATAGTTTGAGGACCCCTGGTCTAAATGATATCCTCAGTAGTCCTGTGTACACATCCCAATTATAAATCATTATTACTAATTTTCCCTGAATTATATGCAGACTGTTGATATCTATACCTATATGTAGTTTTTAAGTGAAAGTGCAAAATAATATAGCCTTTTTTCTCAGTTATATTTTAGTCTAGTCTTTCTGAAATCATTCTCTTAGGCCCCATTAGGTGAAGTCTGCAGATAACCAACTTCAACCATGGTGTAGTGATTTTACAGTCTAGGGCAGGAAATTCACTTAATATTACTCTAGCTGCCTTTAGTTGTGCTGAGTTCTGAGTTGTGATCTCACAGCTCATTTTATAAATAGTTTGGATATTTTTATCCCAAAGTATATTACTTAGCATTTATTCCCACTAAAGCTTATTTGCCAGTTGTCTGACCACATGGTCAGATTTATCGGCTCTTTGGACTAGCCCAGCAAACTTTTTCTATAAAGGGCCAGTAATAATATCCTTTTTACAGCAATGCCCTGGTGTCAGTCAGCTTTTCAGCTCTGCTGTTGTGTTGTGAAAGCAGCCATAGGTGATAGTAAATAATGAGTATGGTTGTATTGCATAACACTTTATTTATGGACCCTGAAATGTGAATTTCATATAATGTTCACGTGTCACAAATATTAGAGTCCTTTAGATTTTTCCCCCCCAACCATTAAAAAAATGTAAAAACCACTCTTAACTTGTGGGCTGCCCAGAAACAGGCACAGGCTGGATTTTGGCCTGAGGCCTATAGTTTGCTGACCCCGATCTAGGCCCATCGTTAGTGGGATGTGTTGTTCAGATTTTACTACATTCTCTCTCCTCCAGATCATGACCCAGGTCTTACTGAGTCTCCTCCCACACAGATGCTTGAGGCTCTTGACTGGGTTCCCTGAATCCCTGCTTCCCAACACTATTAAAGCAGCTACAGTTAGACCAACTGCTCTTATAAAGGTGGGGTGTAGCTGGGTCCCATAATCCACCAGAGGGCTCTGCTTGTGACTCTCCAGACCTCCCAGTGGCTCCTGTTAAAATACCTTGTAGTTTTCGAATGGAAATCTGACTGTGTCTTCACCCTCCCCCACACCTGAGCTGTAGCCACTCTGAACTTGCATTGTTTGAGGACCACAACCATTGTGCATGCAGTTGCCTCATTTGAAATGCTTTTCTTCACCATTCCTTTACCTAGTTAATTCTAGGTAAATTCTAGAACCACTCCCCCATGGCACCCTCATGCCCCACGTCTATAGGAGTCTATTTGTTGCATGCACTGATGTCTCATTTGTAATTTTATCTTCATTGGTGGCATTATTTGACTAATGGCTGCTTCTGACTCCCTTGTTAGACTCTACGTTCCATGAGAGTAGAGGACTCCATCTTTGTTGACCACTGTGTCTCCTGCACCTGGCCCTGTGCCTGGTACATAATAGATGCTCAATAGGCATTTGTTGAATGGAGAAATGGGAGCCACTAGACCTCAGCCTATTGGCCGGGGCATTCCTGTCTATGACAGCCCCATCCCCTTACTAGCAGAGCCAGTTTGGATGAATTACACGATGATCTCTTTGGTCCTCAGTTTCCTTCTCTGTAGAATGGGGGTAATAACTACTATAATTGGGCCATGGTGACTTAAATGAGATAATGTGCCTGGCACATGGCTTACCCCAGTTACTGTTAGATTAATGTTAATTCCCCTTCCCCCTTCTTCTCAATGACATCAATTCCATCTCCTGGTAACCTGGCTAACAGAAACTAATAAATACAGAGCAGAATATTGTGGGTATGTAAGAAAATGTTGATATGTTTTGGAGATCCACACTGAATGAAGTAAGTGGGGATGAAATGACTTGGGATTAGCACTTGCTTTAAAATATCTTAGTTTTTGGTGAGGCAAAATCTTTAGTGTGGGGAAATCTTGATAATGATTGAATCTGGTTAATGGATATTCTATACTATTAATTATACATTATACATATACATATACATATACAAATACACACACACACACACACACACACACACACATACTGGAGGCCCGGTGCACGGAATTGTGCACCAGTGGGGTCCCTTGGCCTGGCCTGTGGGGATCGGTCTGAAACCAGCTCTTCGACATACCCTGAGGGTCCCAGATTTCAAGAGGGCAGTTCTCGGGTGATGCACCCTGGAATCAGGCTCCCTACTCTCGGCTCCCTACTCTCTGGTTCTGGTGCGTCACCCGAAAACCGCAGCTACTAAGTCACTGCAGCTCGGCAGCTCCTGCATTGAGCGTCTGCCTCCGGGTGGTCAGTGAGCGTCATAGCTACCAGTCAGAGCATCTGCTCCCCTGGTGGTCATTGCGCGTCATAGCTACCGGTCAGATGGTCGGATGGTTGGATGGTCGCTTAGGCTTTTATATATATAGATACTATTTTCTCTATATCTATGTGTTTGAAATGTTTTGTAATCTAAAAATTTTAATATAAAGAAAATGACAATGATTTGTAGAGAGAAATAAAATAAGTAGCCTGGATATTCAAGTTACCTTAACCAGGAATTCAACATGGAAAGCTAATTTGATTTAAGACTGCTGGGAATCCTAGCAAGGGGAGTTAGCTATAGGCTCCAGGCTTAATGGCTCCAAGCTCTGGGGTCATTTCCACCAAGGAGATCCACTTCTTGTGGGACTTGGCGGGGCTCCCATTCCTCAGACGTGTTTGGAAAGACATTGGCTTTTTCTGAGCTGCCCTAGCCTGGATAGAAGCGCAATATTCTGCCTGTTAGTCCAGTGCTCTTGTAGGACTTTATCTGTGTTTAAATCCAGAGCATCATCTCACTGCTATATTGCTGTGATTACTATTATTTTTATAACATACCGATATGTTACACAAAAGATTATTGTTCTACTAACAATACAAAATGACTGAACCATCCATTTCTGTTTCTACATCTTTCTCCAAACAATTGATTTGATTTCAGCTTACTAAATTACAACTCCAATAACGTCCCACCTTCATAAGAATACTCCCAGAATATCTTTGAGCACCCCCAAAACTCTTCATTTACTCACAGCTTCTTGCTTTTACTCCAACAGATAACTGATTCCTTCCTTTGCATTTAACTTTTGCTGGAATCACTCTCAGAGGA